CCGTCGTGCCTGGCGCGGGCGCCCTGCCCCGCGAGCGCGCCTATAGGCAGTGGGTCCCGCCACCTGTGCCCCTGGCGGCGGAGATGGCATCCTGGCCGAAACCAAGCTTGAGCAACCGCTGCGCCACCGCTGGCAGAAACTGGCACGCCCCCGCAAGATGGGAGAGAACAACGCCTTCCTTTTCGCGCTGATGAGGCCACACCCACCATCATGCGCAGACAGCCGTAGGCACCGCTCCGGCACTTCCGGAAGCCGGTCAACCCGAACAAGCCGACAAGCAACACTCAACACAGCGTCGTCCAATCGCTCCGCAAGGTTGGAGAAAGACTCCAGGTGAAGAATGCGGGCGTCGTAGTCCAAGGCCATGTTGAGGACCTTGTCGAGTAAGGCCCAAGCTGCACGGTGCGAGGGCTGGGCGAGGGGCGCGCGAAGCATCGCCGCCAGCGCGCGCGCGAGCTCCACCGCATGCACCGGGCGCTTCTCCGAGGCTCGGGGGGCGCCGGGGGTGCCTATGGAGGCGGCGTGCCTCCCTTCGAGCGCGCCTCCCATGAGCTCCAGGCCGTCAAAAATTTGCGGCAGACCCACTTGCCGAAGAACTGGGTGAATGTCGCCGCGCGCCGCCGCTGGAATCCACGCCTTGGTCTTCGACAGGTTGAGGCGGAGCTTGACGGAGGCCGGGGCGTCGGTCAGCAGGGGCAGCCACGCGTGCGCCATGCAGGGGCGAACATCATGAGGACGTCGCCCATGCACTCGAGGTGCGCCGGCACGCCAGCAAAGGCGCATTCCGAGGCCGAGTGACTCAGCAGGAACAGCCGCAAGGCGCGACGAAGGCCGAAGCAGAACAGCAACGAGGAGAGCGCATGTCCCTGGTAGAGGCCGTCGCGCATATACAAGCAGCTCCAAGATGCAGCACCGGATGCAACATGCATCGGGGATCCCCGCTGCACCCACATGCTGAGAAGGTACGGTGCTATCTCCGGCAGCTCCTGTAGCACCTCCTCCATGACCTCGGCCGCTAGATCTAGCCGAAGGCGTTGTGAACGTCGAACGCGCAGAGAACATCATGTGGGCATAGCTTGGGCAAGGCCTTGCCGACAAACAAAAATGTTTCGGGGCCAGCCGGCGTTCCTAGGCCAGACTGGGTGTCCGAGAACAACTTCACGACCTTGCTCTGCGTGATCTCCTGATGGCACGCCCCTGGCAGCGATAGGAACGCCTCGCCGATGATGATGGGTCTGACGTCGGCGCAGGCGTCGCCCTTGCGCAGCGGGATGCCGAGGGTACCGCGCCAGGGTGCGGCCATAACCTCAGGCACCCATCCTGATACCCAGGCTAGTGACCATCTCGTCGTGAGCCCCACATCACTGGGTGCAATGTTCATGAAACGCGAGTTTCTCCAGGAGCTACTGCCAGAGGCCTTGCAGTCAGCAGTCCGCGCGACAAACTTGCCCACGACCTTCTCTACTGTCGGCGGCTTGCACCGCTTGGCTCGCTGCTGGAGGCCAGGGTGCCGAGCGAGGGAGTCTTGCGCCAACTCGGTGAGGACCTTGCTGTCCATCAGGTCGACCGTTTCAGGACAGGCTGGATGGAGGCCACTCCTCGACAGTACTCTCCTGCCAGTCCTGGCATCGCCATGCATTACTTTGAGGTCGCACGCCTCGAACTGTTTCCTCTGGAGGTCCTCGCTGTCCTCGGTTGCGGCGTGGACGCGACGTTCGGCCGCCCTGTCGAATGCCCGCTGCGCCTGCCGCCGCAGACTCAAGAGCCTCGAACCAGCAGCCAGCAGCCCTGTTCAAGGAGCTGGAGCCGCTGCTTGATGACCCACGCCACCTGGGAGACGTCCTGCGGGCCCCGCGGGCCCTTGACCCCCATGCAGCGGTTGTCATCCTGCTCCCAGAGGTCTCGTGCAAAAAGAAAATCAAGATGCCAAAGGAAGAGAGATGCACATTCAGCGCGTGCTGCATTGGTCTCTTGACGATGAGCTTCGTGCGCGAACCTATCCCGAGCCATAGTTGCAATGCTGTTGTATCTACGCACCAGGCCCTTCGGGATGAAGAGATACGACGCTGCCGGCGCGACAGCAGGAAGGTCTCGCAAGAGCTCCACGGTGCGCGCGACGAACGCATCGGTGTGGTCGCCGCCCTGGCCGGCCCAAGCAATACTGTCTGGACCTCCCTGGCCCATGGAAGCTGCAGACTGCGGGAGATCCGCGTCATGCATGGCACGCTGGACCTGCTGCTGGGGAGACGGATTCGCAGCCGCCGGTGCCACAGACGCTGGAGGATCCAGAGGTGCGGCTCCAGACGCGGGAGCACCCTGACGACGACAGGTCGGGCAGAACATCTGAGTATAAATGCTGCACTTCCACATTGGCGCCTGAGCACGCCGATAAACCATTGCTCACAGTTGTGACCTGCGGAGACAGAAATGAAGACTGGCTCGAGGACCGCTGCGCAACCAGCCCTGCGCATATATCCACGGCCTCCCCGTCCACCACCAGCAACAGCAGTATCAACGACAGCGCGAGCGCCAGCGCCAGCGCCAGCGTGTCGAACTTCTCTTCCTCCTCCTCCTCCTCCTCCTCCTCCTCCTCCTCCTCCTTCTGGCGGGCCGCCGTGCGGCTCGGCAGAGCTGCCGATTCCAGCCGGCGTCCCAGCGGAACAGGAGGTGACCGCCTCCGCGGCGGCGCATGCCATCCTGGTGGAATGCCTATCAACTGCTTCTCGAACCAGCTGAAGTGCCGCCTGGACGTTGGACGCCACTGCAGCGCCTGGAACACCGCCGCCAGGGTCGCCGAGGTCCTCTCCAGCCTCCTCCGCACGGATCTCCACCACCAAGGCTGCCTGCTCCTCCTCTCCCTCATCCTGGGCGGCAGCATCGTCAGCAGCAGCAGCGCGTGCGGCAGCAGCGCCAGCAGCAGCAGCGCAGCTCTGGCATGCTACTGCGTTGCACGGCGTGCACGCCCTGGCCCAGCCGCCGCCGCACACCTGGCACCGCAGGCCTCGCACGGGACGCACCGCCTCCAAGGCGCCCCTGCAGCCTGGACAGACGGCTGCACGGCGCTGTCGGCACTCTGGGGGCTGCCCAGCCTCCGTGCCCAGGTATCCCTGGGATGGTCTACTGACTGGGGGCCCTTCAGCTGTTGGACTGCTTCCTGCACCTCCTCCAGCACCCGCTCCTCCAGCTCGTGCAGCAAGCGCCGGCGATGCCACGCCTGCCGGCGGCTTGGCGGGAGCGACGTCGAAGTGCGCCTCCCACTGCCAGGGCACCTCTCCCGTGATTTCCTCCACCACCTCCGCCCCACCTCCGCCTCCAGCAGCTCCTGCCTCCTCCTGCCTCTCCCTCTGGTCCTCTTTTCGCGCGGCAGCAAAATCCTGCTCGTCGGCGATGTTCGCATACTCGCTGTCCACCACCGTCGTGGGCCAGTCCTGCCTCTCCCCCAGCGCCACCTCCAAGGAGATGATGCGCTCTGCCAGGTCCCGAGGGATCTCTGGCAGAGTCTCGTATGGCGTATGGCTGGTCGCGCCACTGAGCCTCCTGAGCAGCGGCCGCCTGCGCATCCACCAGCGCGCGGAGCTGCGCGAACCTCTCAAGGTATTGGACGCGCTCCTCGAGGTCCCGCCGGATCTCCCGCAGCTCCGGCCTGGCCAGCGGCTGGACCAGCTCGGCGTCAGTCGCCTGCGCGTCCACCATCGCGCGGACGTCCGCCATGAAGCCGCTAAGAGGGCCTGGGTGAGGCTCAATGCCCTCCTCCGTGAGGTCGCGGAGCCATCCACCCAAGGATGTGGCCGCCAACCCATCATCACGCTGGGCGCGGGGTCCCCGCCAGGCGGCGCGGTCCCGCGTGGGCCAGCTGCCAGTGCACCCATCACGATTGCACCACTGTCGCGGGGCACGCCCAGGTCGCGAGCGGTCTCGGCAAGTGCGGGCTCGCCTCCCATCCGGACGAAGTCCGCGAGCTCGCCGAGGGGGCGGCCCTGAGCGTGCCGGGGCGGCTCCTGCAACTCTGGTAGCGGGGAGGCGAGCCCAACCAGTCCCGGAGGCGCATCCGAGAAGGCAGCAGCAGCAGCAGCAGCAGCAGCAGCAGCAGGCAGCCACTGCAGTGGCGACCACGGTGACGAGGACGAAGGCAGCGATGAGGAGGTAGAACTCCCAGTGATGGAAGCAGAAACCGCCCTCGCTGCCTTCCGCACCCACGCTGGAGAACTCGTCGAACCAGGAAGCAGCAGCAGCGCCAGCCTGAGCGGCAGCAACACCGGCCACAGCACCGGCTTGCGCTGCAGCCTCGTGGACAACCGGGTCCTGGGCTGCCTGGAGCGCCCACCAGTGACCAGGGGGCACCCCCACCAGCAGCGCCCGCCAGCGCAGCCAGCGCGACCTGCCCAGCGCCACCCCGCTGCGCCAGAGCCATCCGGCGCGCCCGGAGGATGGGGGAAGCGAACGGGGTGGGGGAAGTGAACGAGTAGGAGTTTCTCTTAATACCTGTCTCACTCTTTCGGTTACCCCCGCTATGCCATACATTACATTATCGTTATGTTTGATTGCGTTGTTTCCCGCGCCATGTGATTTCTCCCTCCCTTCATCTCTTTGGAGATCTCTCTTGATATCTATGTATTCATCACTTGATTGGGTTTTTTCTCCGGTGCAATGTCAGCCTAATCCCCCTCGTTCGTCGCGTTGCTCGTCCGTTGCGACCGTGTCGTCCCCGTCCTCCACTTCTCGCCGTCATCCTCCTACCCCACGTTATTTCCGTTATCCTCGTCGCTGCCCACCTTCCTCCCACAGATACTGCCAGGGCTCCTGCCATGGCTCGGTGAATCTCGCATTGCTGTCCAACGCGCTTCGACCCCTTTTTGACACGGGTGTTCACGAACAACAATGCAAGACTTGGCGGTGCTGGCAAATCAGGACAATACACCAGCGTAGAACCTCTACTCCCAAAAACGGCCTGCCACAGCGGTGGGCAAAGAGCGCCGGATCGCCAAGGCACAAGACGGCGCCTCTAAGTAGCCCTTGTCGTCAGTGAGCCACCGCTTCCTCATCTCCACCTTAGTTACTGGGGCCAGCGAGAGGTTTGAGTCAGTCTGCACACGTTACTGGGCGCAAGAATCCACCCCGACAGCCGCGATGGGATCGTCACGAATCGACCCAGTGTTGACAAGGGCGGACGGAGACGGTGTGATGATAATCATGGAAATGTGGCAGGGAAGGAAGCCGAAGGTAAGCAGAACAAGAAGGGTCATGATAATGGTCAGGGTGATTGACAAGAGGAACGGGTTTGGAGCGACAGTGACGGCGATGCAACTATACTTCAAACGATGTCGAATGCAAATTTGGAAATCATGTCTCGCATGAGATCGTCGGAAGTCGCACATCCATCGAGCCACCGGAAAAGAGCTCTGGCGTTGAGCATTGAAGCGTATATCCCGACCGAAAAACAGCGACATCATCCTGGATCCAGTCCGAGCGTCATTGATCACTTGGGTCGTGGCGCGATTTTCAAAAATCGAAGGCTGGTGCATGGGCATACTTGTGTCGATGGTGTCTACGAGTACGCAACAACCAGGGGCACGTTCTATCTGGGACACATGCTCACCTACGTGCTCGGCATCTGGACATACGACAGCATAATCAATAATTGATGTCGCCGAACGGAAACCAAATCAACCCAGAGGAAGTCAAATGAATCCTCGTCAATCCTGAAACCCTGCGGGATCCTGAGGAATCCTGAAGAATCCAGAAGACATCTCAATAATCCAGAGGAGTCTTTCGGATTCCTGGAGTATCATTGGGGATCCAGATGAACCCACAATAATCCAAGGGGTCCTCAGGAAAGAGTATTGAGAAGTCCTCAGGAATCCTGATGTATGCTGGTGATGGTTTAGGAATCTGGAGGGATCCTGAGGAATCCCAGGTTCCGTCAAGAACTCGAAGGGCGCCTTAAGGAATCAGAAGGGTTCCCAGTGAGCAACATGGGGAGCACGAACATCACCGAATAATCAAATGGAAGTCCCTGTGGAACCCAGGGCGCCAGCCATCAGTGATAAGTTAACTTTGAACCGATAAATGACTTTTGGAAGAAAAAACCTTGTACTGGTTCCAAACCAACTTACCGGCCGTAAGCGGCACGTGAACTAACAGGCCATACACCATGCGTGGCCCTACCACCACTGCCACTACTGCTCATTGCCACTGATGCCACCACTGCGACAGTACTCAACAACGACAGCTGCGCGAAGTCCCAGGCGGACCACCCGCGCAGAGGACTGCGTGCCGCGGGCACGGGCGGAAGCGGGCAGAGGCAAGCGCGGAGCGCGCCTCTTGTGTTAGAACGTAAACCCGACGTGTTAAAACGAGACAGTCCCAGCCAGAAATGTTCTACGAACATGTCGTGGAAACCACAAAGGGTTCTTAGAACATTGTTTGAAAAGCCTATAATTTCGCCACTGCTTGAAACGGACTGGCCACCACAACGACTGCCCACCACAACTGGTACTTGCAACTCGCCGGCCCTCGCCACCGCCGAACGTTCGACCACGAGCGCCGATACGGCCCCGTGCCCCTCAAGGTGCTGCCGCGACAACGACGCCCGACGGCAGCCAACATGCTGGGGGCGACCTTCGAGCCGCATGCGCCTGGGGGGGGAGGGAGGGAAGGGAGGGGAGAGGAGGGAGGGGAGGGAGGATGAGAAGAGGCAGGGGAGGGGGGAGGGACAAGCTAGGTGCGCTCGCGTCATATCTGACGTCCTACCCCTCCCTCCCATCCCTTACCATGGCGCTGATTTTCTCTATCCGCGGACGCGTGTCGTAGCGGACCTGTGGCTCCGCGCGCGCGTGCGTAGTGGGTGGTGGTGCACGTGCGTGCGTGCGTGCGTGTGTGCGTGGTTGTGGTGGTGGTGGTGGTGGTGGTGTGGTGGTGGTGGTGGTGGTGTGGTGTGGTGCTGGTGGTGGTGGTGGTGCTGGTGGTGGTTGGTGGTGGTGGTGGTGGTGGTGGTGGTGGTGGTGGTGGTGGTGGTGGTGGTGGTGGTGGTGGTGGTGGTGGCGGTGCGGCGCGGTGGTGGCGGGCGGATGGGCGCGCGAGAAAAAGGCCCGCGCTGGGGCGAGAACGCCATCCTGAACGACGGAGGCCAAACACCGATCCGAAAATGAGGCCCACGCTGCAGCGGGAGCACGATTCGGAACGATTCGGGAGCAGAAATGAGGCCGGCGCCTCAACGAGAGCAGCATTTTGGGAAAAAATGACGCCGGCGCCTCAGCGAGAGTCGTTTCCCGGGATTTCCCGGGGATCCTGTGTGTAAAAAAACAGTACGCGGAGGGTGCGCGGCCATCACCCGGACGCCATCAGGGGAAGAGGGAGAGTATTTTCATATTGAGTAATTGTGGAGGGGGAGGGGGGAGGGAGGGAGGATGAGGGGAGGAGGGGGGGGGAAAAGGGAGAGGGAGGGCAGGAGGACGGCGACGAGTACGATGCCAGCGGCGATGACGACGAGCGGCGAGAGGGCCGCCGGCCCGAGGCCCCAGCGTTGTGCGTGGGGTCCTGCGGGCGCGCCCAGGGGGGCTAGGGGGGGCTGGTTGGGCAAGAGAAGGGCGAAGGGGGCCCCTTCTCCTCGCATCAATGTCCGCGCCATCGCGGTCTGGACTCTGGGGCGCGGTCCCGCGGATACGCGGTCGCACGGATACGCTCCGCGTGGGGTCGCGGCCCAGGGCCCCGGCCCGCGAGGCCGTGGGTACGGGTATGTTCCTCGCCCGCAACGCCCCCACCTCCCTTCCTAGGCATCCAACGGCTTGGCCGTGCAACAAGACGACGGATGTGTTTCGCCGTTTCGGTCTCTGGGGGCCCCCACCAGGCCCCAAGACGTTCAACCAACTACTTAGGACGAGAAGCCGGTTCCAAGGAATCGAAGTATCCAAGAAATCAAAGTCTCATAACCAAAAATCAAAGCATCAGGGGAGTTGGAGGAGGAGGAGGAGCAGGAGGAGGAGAAAGAGGAGGAGAGGAGGGAGGAGGAGGGAGGAGGAGGGAGGGAGAAGGAGGAGGAGGAGGAAGAGGAGGAGGAGGAGGAGAAGGGAGGAGGAGGAGGAGGTGGAGGAGCAGGAGGAGGAGGAGGGAGGAAGAAAGAAACACTCCGTGGGGGCCAAGTTCGTCCATCAGCTAGACATTCAGAGGCCCAGAGGCTATCCTCAAACTGAGGATCCAAAACGCCTGGGGACGCTGGCCCCAAAGCCACACCGAAATCTGGTGCACTGCCCGAGGCACTAACCCCGAGCACGAGTTACCCGAATCTAGGCCAGCGGACTCCTCTGCACAACTACCCTCTACGTACCATTGCTAGGACATGCCTGCTCCTACTCAGCGCTTGCCATCGTGCGGTGCCTTCCTCTACGCCTAAAGCACTCAGATATCGTGCTACCTCAAGTCCCCCCTCTGGTGCATCTCCTCCGTGTCTCATCAAATACCTGCGTACCTCCGTACTCTCTGAAGTCGGGGCGCCTCGGGTCACTGTTCCCAAAAAGGGCGGGGTCGAAACACTCCTCATTGGCATCTGTGAGCCCGTCGAGCCTGTAGAGTCCCTCAAAGGCGACGCCCTCCTCATTGGCATCTGTGATCCCCTCGTCCCAGGAGAAACCCTCAAAGGCGAAACCCTCCTCATTGGCATCTGTGATCCCGACGTCCCTGAAGAGACCGCCCTCTTTGGCATCTGTGATCCCGTGGACCCCGCAGAAAACCTCAAAGGCGAAACCCTCCTCATTGGCATCTGTGATCCCGACGTCCCTAGAGAGACCGTCCTCCTTGGCATCTGTGATCCCGTGGACCCCGAAGAAATCCTCAAAGGCGAAACCCTCCTCATTGGCATCTGTGATCCCGTCGACCCAGGAGAACTCCCCAGTGGCAAAACCCTCCTCATTGGCATCTGTGATCCCGTGGACCCCGAAGACACCCTCCAAGGCGACGCCGTTCTCATTGGCATCTGTGATCCTGGGCGGCCCCGATCGTGGCCTTCCAGGGGGTCGACGATCTTCTCTGGAGACACTCTCAGAGGTGGACTCCTCCTCCTCGTCGGGCTCCTCTCTGCGTCCAAATGCACTGCCTGCGGCTGGCAGTCCTGCAGAGTCAGTCGGGGACTGCGGGCCGGCTCAGCAGACGACGATATTCCCGCATGTGGCGCGGTCATCCTCGAATCCCCCTCAGCCGTCACTTGATTTGTGTCAATCTCAGGCGTAATCGATTCAAGATGATCCGAAAGTGTAGTAGTCCGTCGTGCAGTCTCTGCTACTGCAGGAACACCTCCAGCCACTCCTGCAACTCGCGCTCCATGTGGCTCGCTGGCGCCCTGCCCGATTTCAACTCCGCGCCCAGCTGCTGGAGGGCGCCAATCACCTCCTTGCGGCCCTCCTGAAGGCACAGCGTGATCCTGCGCTTGCCCTGATCGTAGCACCTGTCTACCTTTGTGAAGCGGATGATGTCCATCTTTTCTTCGTAATCGAGCGACTGGAGCCGAGCCTTGAACTCGGTCAGCTTCTCGAAGTTCACTTTGCCGATGCTCTGTTGGCGCGGCAGCAGCGCCTCCAGCAGGCCCCCGAACACGAATAGGTGGGGCGCCCCGAGCCCGTGGCCCTTGCCCTTGGCCTGGACCTGGGCGTTGTAGGCCGAGCCCTGCTCCTGCATCTTCAGCACCTCTGGGAGCTCGGCTGGAACGATTAGCACGTCGAACAACACCCCCTCGATGTTCCGACGGCTCTGGGCGAGCGAGAGCAGCATTTTCATCATCAGCACGTGCAGTCCTTTGCTGTGTCCGTTGATGCCTGCGGTGGTCTTCTGGGCGGTCTGGCCGCCGTTCCCCTCGTCGCGGCGCCTGACCGCTCTCTGAAACTCGGGCTCCTTCTTGCTGTCGGTGCCGCTCGCCAGAACCAGCGCCATGACTAGGTACGCCCGCTCGTTCGGTGCGCTGCTCCCCACGCGCGCGAGGCTGAGACACAAGGGGAGGTGGAGGGAGGTGACATTCCACAGCGTGATCATGGCACTCAGCAAGTGCGTCGAAGTCAGACTCACACAATGGGCACTGCAGAGACTTAGGCATACTTAGGTCCCAACCAAAGGCGGTGCGGTTAAATCTACATCTGTTGGCCAACCATGCGGCACGGACGCGTTGACGAGCCCTATCTTTAGACGAGAACGAGGTACGACACCATGGACACACATTTGTCAAGACGGTCGAATACAAAGGGTTCAACTTACCGTGTTCGCCTCCCGCAGATCTGGATTGATGAGCTAGAAGGCCTCCTCGTGACTCAAACTCCTGTAGGCGCATGTTCCCCTGGGAATCCCTCAGGTTACAGATATAGGTCGTGGGCTCCTCATTGTCCTCCTCCTGTTCGAAGGCCCTCGCGGGGCCCCTAAGACGGCTCTGACATAATGCTTCCCCCTCCTTCAAAAGTGAGGCCTTCCGGATCTCGGGATCAAATTTCAGCCACACCTCCCGAACTTCTTCTTCCAGGAATAAAGCCTGCCAGGAGAAATCCCGCCGCTCCCGGGCCTCGAAGAAATCCTCGGCACCGCGAATACCAGCAAACGCCCAGAAGTCCCGCTCTATCTGGAAAGCCAGTGGGGGTGCGCAAGTACGGAGGTGCCCGTCATCATCGAGAGAGGGAGGTCTGTTTTCGAGATGCCCCCGAATCGAGGCGATCACCTGCTGGTGCGCGAGGGCGTCCTTGGCCATCTGCTGCGCCCATCCGAAGCGTCTGGCCGCCTGCTCGAAGCGGATCGGTATCAGGCGCCACCTCTGCCTAAGCGTCGAATTCGATGACGAATGCGGATGCTCGCCTGACCAGTCCGCGGCTTTGCCGCGCTCCAAAACTCGAAGGCACTTGGCTAAAATCCCGTCCAACTGCTGGGTCTGGGCCCTCGGAAACGCGAAAGGTTCGTTCGCGGATAAGGCGGCTTCCACCACGTGGCCCCTAAAGGCCAGGATCTTCAGAGATTTGCTTGCGCGGCTGGTCCAGAACTTACCTAGCTTCCCCCACCCAGCGTGGACAGCTGCGCAACGATAGCGGAACTCTTCCATACTCGATAAATTCCATGCGTAACGGCAACCCAGGTATCTAGCTCTAGCCCGTGCCTTACCCATCTTAAACTCGGCCGAGAAGTCTCGGTTCGCTTGATGACTACGAAGGCAAGGGACGGTTTCTCGCTTACTATAGTTCGGGATAAGACCTTTAGCCCCCATGACCCCGTCGAGCACGTCGTCGCTGTGTTTCAATTTCCCAGCAATCTTCGCCTGCGTCGTATCGTCGATCGGCATCTTATCGAATATATCGTCGGCGTACACCGTCGTCGCCCCACAGCACAGAGAGTTATATATGCCGCACCGCAGGTGCGTGGCCGCCTCATTCACCGAACGTGCGTCGATCCACGATCTCATGGGGCTCCCCATTACCTTCGCGAACACCACGGGCTCCTCACTAGACCTCATAAGTCCCCCTCGTCGGTGTCGAACAGCTAAGTTTCTGGAGTCCTGCCGAGGCTGGGCGCCCCCCGTCTCGAAGATCATCACAATCCCTGAAGTCTGAAATCTGGAATGCATCAACGCTGCGTCGGGAGGGGCGAAGAGCTCATTGATCGCCTCGGCCCTCGCTCGCGCCGCGGTGGAGGCAAAGGCATTCGACATATCAGGCAAGTGGTTCAGGTGTGCAATACGATAGATACGATAGCAATGGCCCGTGCACATCTGCACTGCGATCGCGCCCTCCCTCCTACGTCGGGGAAGAAACCTATGGAACTCAGCCGGCCAGTGGACCCCTTTTTGTACATGTTATGCTTCAGCAGCCCCCCGTAGAAGCATTTCCAAAATGGGCGCATCACGTTAATCAGACGTTTTCCCAGCGCCCCCACCTTCCCGTTGTGCTTCGCAATCGAGACCCCCCAGGCCAAGTTCCCCAGGATGGGCGTGCGCTTCAGGCGCCTACATAAGATATGAAGATCTTCGAGGAGTCGGGCTGAGGTCGTGGAGTCCGTCTGTGATATTGGGGTAGCTCCAAGTCCTAAATACTCTTGAGGTCCCACTGAGAGATACTGGGGGTCGGCAGCCATCAAGTGCAATTCCAGCGGGAAGCTCCACGGGGGGGCGGCTCGCCGTTTGGCACTTCGTCGAAGGCGTCGTAATGTCGCCTGAAAATCCTGTCGCCCTTGGAGGTCGGTTCGCTCGAGCTCGTCTTCATCCGTCGGTGCCGCAGGCACTTGCGTACTAAACAAACTAATCATTCTGTCAACGTCTAATTCAACTGCGCCCATCCCACCGCCATCTGCTGGTAGGCTCAACTGCGTCTGCCATTCAGTTCTGCTGTCAAATGTCGAGGGTAAGTTATACTTTCGCTTCCGAGGTCCACCGTGCTGCGCTGCGAGTAGAAATATCAGTCGATGTACACCAGCGTGCTTATGTTGATTATGTGCATCTGCAATCTCTGCTTCCAATCTGCGTCGTGAATCGTGCCAAGCTTGTCGACTCTCTTGTCGAAGTGTCTTTTTGATCACTCGCAGCTCCTCTTTAATCGCATCAGCCCTGGCTTCCAAATCATCCAACGAAATACTCATAGGCGAAACACTCCTCATTGGCATCTGCGGTCCTGCGCTGCCCTGTTCGTAGCTCACTAATGTCATAGTTGAAGTTGCAGTCCCCGCATTCTCCCCTGCAACTATCCAGCCCGTGGGAGTAGTCGGTAGCCCTGCAGCGCTCTCATCATTCCCATTCGACGTCACTATGTGTGTGTCAGTCTCACGTAATCGCTTCAGATGATCCGAAGATGTAGTAGTGTGGTGCCGTGCAGTCCAGCGTCAAATCCCCTGTTCTTCGCCCACACCGCGTAGTTCGACTCGAAGTTCACTCCGTGCTCTAACCAGTTCCAGTCGCCGAGCCCTTAGTGCCGAAACTGCTGGGTCGAACTCCTTTGGCTTCTGTGCGAAGTGAGCAAGTCCCGTCCTACGAACTATTTCCAGCCACTCCTGCCATGCTCGGTCAAGCTCACCACTTTGTAGTCGTCGTATCATCTCAGGTGCGTGCTCCTGCATGGCCTTCTCTAAGTCGTCCAGAAACTCCGGCCTCGCCACTCAGCGCTGGACCGCGGCCGCAAGTTTGTGGCGATCCCACCTCTCGTCCCTGGCCGATGATGGTTCGTACTGCTTCGAAATGGTCATCTGCAGCAAGATCGGGACGTGGTCTCTAGGGTTCTGGGACGGGATCAACTGGAGGCGCTTCGCGGGGTTCCATAGGACCTTACAAGCCGACGCTTGATCTCTGAGCCCCTGGGGTATGAAGATTGGGCGGGGGCAACGGGCCGGGAAAACATACCCACCTTAAAACGTACCCAGGTTCCACTGGTTCGGGAAGGTGTTCCGCATTTTTTGGAATGCTATCCCGCGCAGTATTATGTGCGTACCGTTTCATGGACCTACTCATGCACGGTCGCCTGTCGCTCGGGGGGGCTCTGTCTATTCGCTTAACGCTGTGGCATGACCTCAGGGGCCGCGGAAACACGCGGCACATATTCTTTGCAACGTGCGTGCAAATGTGTAAACGCTAGAACACGCGTGTGTTTTTCACTCGGAAAGATTACGTTGCGCAAGCACAAGTGCACTTCTGTTGACGTTTTCTGACACCCGCGCAACCCCAACGCGCAATGGGGCAAACACGCGCGCGAAGGGGCCATTTCTTAATGCACCAACGGCTGACACCAAACAAATTGGGAAGCGAACCAATCGATGAGATTATTCCTTTACGTCTTAACAACGACGTTGTACCGATCCGCATCAGTAGTCGTTCCCACGACCGCACATGAAGGGGGCCCACGCATAGGCGCGCTTGCTGTTGGCATTGTTTCTGCGCCTCGGCGCGTCCACGTCGGGGGCGAGCAGGAGGGCAAGAGGGGGGAGGGGGAGTGGCAAGAAGGGGAAGGGACACGGAAGGGGGGGAGGGGGTGGTCCCAAAGGTAGAAGTTTCAAACGCGCACCCCCCAGGAGGGCCTCGAACCGACGAGGTTCCAAGTTCGAATTTCGAAGTGCGAATTTCGAAGTTCGGAGTTCGAACTTCGAACTTCGGACTTCGAACTTTTAACTCTGAATCTTCTTTTTTGGAAACCCCCCGCCAAAAGGAGCGGGGCGGAGGAAGACAGGGGGGCGGGGGAGGGGGGGGGGAAGGGGGGAGAGCGCGCAGGGGGCGGAGAGGGGAGGGCGGGCCTGGCTTTTCGCGCTCGGGGGAAGGAAGGAGGGAGGAACAGGGAGAGAGGAGGGGGAGGAGGAGGAGGTGGAAGGCTCAAACGAGGCCGAACGGCATCCATGAAAGTAATGTTTCTTTTTTCAGCTCCAGGAGCGCGGCAGGCCGCAGTCGACAACGAGGCGCCGACGTGCGCACAGCGTCAGGCCAACGCCGCGGGTGCAGAGGCCTCTCACCTCCGAGCCACGGCCAGTCCAAACGGCGCGCTTAGCCGTTCGCTTCACGTGCCAGCGTCGTCTCTCGGAGCAGAGAGGGATGCGGGGAAACCGTAAAGTTGCTGGGGGAAACCGTAAAGTTGCTGCACAGCACAGCCTGTAGTTTGTCGTGGAGCCCAGCGCACGCGCAGCGCGAAACAAATGCACGAGGACAGGCTTGTCGCCGCTTTCCTTGCCGCGGCGCTGACGCAGCGCGCATCGGCAGCAATCAAAAAGGCCATGCATCAGCGGGCGCGCGCGTTTAAAACTCGCACAGGGACTCTCACTGTCGTCGGCTTTTCGCCTGAGCACCCACCTCAGCGAGCAGCCCCCCAACGACGGGCCACTACCCGACGACTTCGTGGCGAGGCGCTTGCGCAGGGCGTCGGACACCCCCGCCCCCGACGGCGGCGAAGGGGAGGGCCGCTTGTTGCCCTTGGCCTTGCCCTTGCCGCCGTCCGCGGGCTGCTTCGGGGTGGTCGGCTCCCTCTTCTTCGCGAAGGCGGCGCCCGTCCAGTCCGGCGAGCGGGGTGGAGCCACGACGCCCTTCGCTGCGAACTCGCCCAGGAGGTCTTCGACCTTGTACGAGCGCCCGTCGTCTTTCTTGAGCGACAAGCTCGTGTTGTAGTTGAAGGGGTCATCAAACTCAAGCTCCACGGCGGCGAACTTGAGGACCGCCTTCGGCTCCTGGTGGTCGAGGCGGCACGTGACCGACCACTCGTCCTCGCTGTCGCCCTTCGCCCCGCTGTAAAAGCCGTCCTTGAGGTCGTCGTCGGTGTACTCGGTGCTCAGGGGGCGCCCCTTCGCGGTGTAGTGCTGGCTTAGCGCCGTGCCGAAAGCTTCCCAAGTCTCCAGGCCCTCGTAGGTGATCGTCGGGAGCGGGGTGTCTGGACCGACCCTGAGCCCCAGGTGGAGCAGGCCCAGCTTGAAAGCCTCGTACCAGCAACCGTCGAGCGGCGTTTCCGGGAAGCGCTCGGGCTCCATCTTGTGGAGCAAGAAGTCGACAAGACCGTTCTGCCTTGTCTGGTGGCGACTAAGGCCGCGAAACAAGACGACGACAGAGACGAGGCGCGACGACGACGACGACGATGGCGGCGGCGGCGACGGCGACGGCGACAGCGACGGCGACGACGACGACGACGATGACGACGCCGACGACGAAGACGAAGACGACGACGACGACGACGACGACGAGGACGACGACGACGACGACGGACGACGGCGAAACTGACGTTTATGCTCTTGTGAGCGCGCTAGCGAGGGCGGCGAAAAGCCACGAGGCCAGGGAAGGGCAAACCAGGAAAGCCTCGAAAGCTCCAGGTTCGAACGTGGACCCTCGAAGTTCGAACTTCGAACTTCGAATTTCGAAGTTCGACGTGTGCAAATTGGGCCCCCCCTGACTCTTGGGGGGGATGGGGGGGTGGGAGGAGGAAGAGGGCCGAGAGCCGGCAGGAGGGGGAAGGGGGAGGGGGGGATGGAGCGGGCGCAAATCAGGGCATGAAGATTCCTCCGCCCTCTGCCTGTCCAGGTGCTCGAACTTCTTCAAGCCCGCGCGAAGCCTCTTGCCCTGTGGCTGCTCCGGCTCGGGCCTCTCGCCGCTCTCGGCAGGCTTGGAGGTGGCAGACGCCCTGAGGACCGCCTTCCACTCCTCGTTGTGGAGGAGCGCGTTCAAGTGGTACAGCAGGCCAGGGTCGGCACGCAGGATCTTCACCGTGTCCTCGACCGTCTGCTCGATGGCCGCCTCGCCCGCCCTGCTGAGGCTCGCGAGGATGGCCGCGGCCTCCTTGTCTGCGGCCTTCTCGGCGCGGCTGCTGGAGGACATGGCTGCGCCGAGGGGCTCCGTGGCGGAGTTTGGGGGGCCGCGGCAGGCTTGTCGCCGAAAGGCTTCTCAGACGCACTGCGCTTGAGCCTAACGGTTGCCGAAGACGAGATGGATGGGGGGCGGGCGACAGGGAAGACGGGCGGGCGGAGAGGGGGCGAGGGGGGTGACGCAGACGGAAGGAGGAGCACGAAGGCAGACGGCGGACCGAGAGGGGGGGAAGGGCAAGAGGAACGGAGCGAGCGAGGGCGGCGGGAAGCCTGCCTGCAGGCTGAGGAAGGGCAGGGGGGGCCTCCAAAGGTATATATTCGAAACTCGCCATGCCCTGGAGGGCCTCCAACCGACGACGTTTCAAGTTCGAACTTCGAAGCCCGAACTTCGAAATCAGG